CCCTGTAGGCTCATTCGACATAGCAGTATAACCTGAAATCCCTATTTCGGGTATACAAGTCATAGGCGGTCTCTAGCAAGACACTATGACTACCTATCTCGAATAGAGTTTGTTCGTGATCATACGAACGCCAGTGATGATTCCGGCTGATGATCCTTTTGTATCGCGATATCATATGTCGAACATAAGGCATGGACAAGCCACCTTATCTGATTTGACTGCTTTCTCGTTAACTGAGTTTTGACTGTCTGAAATAGACGACGTTCGTCTATAGTGCGGCCACACATTTCTACAGTCTCGCTCCCACGAGGGGCCCAGCGATATCTCTCTCTTTTACGAGAGGTACAAATCCCGTTTTGACTATCTACAATCCAGTACATGATTCGTTTCGTACCTGATACACGCCTTTATAATCCTTCTGTTACGCAGGACGTTTGACGTAATCAAAGCACGCAACTCCTCATGTTGGATTCCGTAGATATCTCAGGTCTTAGGATCCAATCATGGAACCGTCATATGAGATTCAAGTCATGACGCTAGTCCATGTGACAATCTCATGCGGGTCATTCCAGTATTCCGTTCTCCAACGAATACCTATGATCGTGATCGTATCCAATACCTATGATCATCTATGTGATCATCAATCACACATCATACTAGTCTTATTATGTCGATATTCCCATAACGACATAAGACTAGGGAGTTTAGTATCATTCATAATGATACATGGATTTCATAACATATCTAGCATGCAAGAACATGTAATGAATAAAATACTCTCATAAAACCACATAGAAAGTATCAATACATCGAATGTAACTGAACAAAGCTCATAATCAGTACATCATAGAGCACTAAACCAACACTCCCTCCTTTCACTATCCACTCTTCTAGATTTTGTAACCATCCTCCACTAAACTAACATACTTTAAGGTATGCATCTTCTCAAGAATGAGCACAGGATCTTCATCCATCTCACAACCCCATAACGAAATAGATGAGACGTTGGGAGCATACTACAGTTTGTCTGGTAATTTTTTCATCTTTATACCTCTCAAACTTAACCGTTGAAGATAAACTAAACGTGAAATGAACGCTCCTATATCGACTTCAATCGGACCCACAGTCTGCTGGTGCAACTTAAACTCCTCCATAAGTTTCAACGCATTATTGAGAGATAAAAGTAAAATGTCCTCTGATGGTCCACCATAGACATTGTGATGCCGATCTAGGGTATGATCTAATCTCGTTTTATTTTCTTAAATTCAACTAGCGCCAGTGTACGGGTCAATCGCATTATCTAGGGTCGATTACAAGGACATGTGAGCAGTTAACGATACCAATCTCGGATTCTACTGTTGGAGTTTTTGGAGATCCCTAAACATGCGTTAATAACGGTTTCTAGGATTTCAATCTTGGGTTTCACGCAGTGAAATATGTTAAACAAAACTCAATCAACAGATCTTGCATATAAGGATAAAGTATCGATATACCAATCTGTTTTGATCTATAGACTTGTCACAAACGTTAAAATCAAGCGCTCTCTATAATTAGTCCACACTCATGGGTTTGCGTCTGCTAGAATGTGATCTGGAGGTCGAGAACAGAAACCGAGGCACTCCCCAGGAGAGAAAGAGGTCGGTTGGATGAAGTGTGAGAGAGAGGGGACAAAAAAATTCTCTTAATTTTCCTTAACCCTCAATTATATTTCCTAAACATAATTATAAAGAGATTAGTGTTTCATTAAATCCATTGGGCCTAACGGGTCTTCACTTAACTATTAAGAGAAAAACAAGCTCATTAACCTCTTATTTAGAAATATATGGGTTCATTGGGCCATCTAAACCCATCTAATAGATTTTTAATCAGTTTTACAAACTGATCGTGGTCAAAGCACCATATCCATCATCTACTTGGTTTCGGTTGAGGGCGACAATTTTGGTGGTGGTGATGGTGACTAAATATAAATACGATTCAAACAAAAACAAATAATGATTTAACACAATTCAAATAAAACATTGTAGGCTTCGAGATTTTTGGGCTATAAAAGAATCGTTTCTACAGATTCATCTTGATAACTATGGTTGTGATTCAAGAAATTCAGATTTAGCTAACAGTCCTTGCGTTCCATCCCATGTTACGATAATTCATACTTTTGCGGTAAGTCGTGAATCGAGTTATATATTTTAGACTCAGTACATATGTATCAATTATCATCATAAATACCATAGTTTTCTTTACCGTATAAGAGTCTGGTTCGAGGCTAAAGTGTTTGGGAATGATTTTTTTTTTCTATTTGTTTCTACTGCAAAACCCAGGGTTACAATGCTAGGGGTGTCAATTTAGGCCCGAAATCCAAAGCTCGGCCCGACTTAGTCCAAAAATTAGCGGACTTTGGGCCTAAATTTCTCGACCCAAAAAAATGGGGCTTTCAGGTCGCGCTCAAATCGGGATTTGGGCTCGAGTCTGGCCAACCCGAAAGCTCGAAATTTAGAAAAAAAAAAGGAAAAAGAAAAAAATAACATTTACAAAGGGAATTAAGCGGGCCGACCTAACCCAACCTAAACCCGAAATACATAGGGTCGGACTCCGGACTTAATTACATAGGCTCGAAAAAATTTGGACTGGCCTGAACCCGAGTCTGAAACCTTCGGTCGAGTGCAGACTCCGGCCGAGTGCGGACTTGGGTTGGGTCGGGTCGAGCAGGCCTGATTGACACTCCTATAAAACACCAGAAAAATGTCTTCCTATAGCTTTGATATGGAAGCCTATGTAAGGAAGAGAGAGAGTATGGATTTTTTGTTTGATTTCAGATATTTGAACCCCGAAGGAGAACCCGATGAAGAAGCAGAATTTTATGAACGTTTTAACACCCTTGATAATGAAGAAACTCAAGGTGAAGATGAGGAAGAGGTTGAGCAAGAAGAAGAAGGAGAAAACGAGATAGAAATTGTACATTTCCAACGATTTTTTCGGTTTGTCGCTAATCTTAATCATTGTCAATATCTTTCTGAAATTAATGTGTACTTGATCTTGAATGAGGAAGAACAGATTATAGAAGAAAAACTAGAAGAAGCATCCACAGATAAAGTTTCAAACTCGGATAAAATAAAAAAGGATGAGGATGGGAGAGATGTAATGACGACCAAGGAGTTGAATGACCTTTTGAGATGGAGGTAATAGATCCCAAAAAAAAAAGGCATCAAACAATGGTGTGCATAATACTACCTTACAAAAATCATCAAATCAATCCGAGAGTGACTTCTATGTGGTTTGAAAATCGATCACATCATGAGATAAAAATAAAAATAAGACATCAAAAGGCATTGTTCAAGAGGAGTTCCAAAGTCAAAGAACGAGTATAAAGTCAGATTTGGCGTTACCTATGGATAATAAACATTCTAAGTTTGGTAAAGATGATTAGGATTTTATCCGAGTAGATTTCTTAGTATACCCAAAATAATTTTTTATATGAATAAAATGAACGAAATACAATACATGCAAGTACCTTTAACAAATAAAATTCATGAATTTGTTAGATTATTATTATTATTATTATTATTATTATTATTATTATTATTATTATTATTATTATTATTATTATTATTATTATTATTATTATTATTATTATTATTATTATTATTATTATTATTATTATTATTATTATTATTATTATTATTATTATTATTATTATTATTTTATGATGACATGAGCAATGAACATAAATTAAAAAATTATCACAAGGAAATCAAATCTATATTTACTTCAAATCGGAATGTTGAGACCTCCGTGATGTTTTCTTATCATCTTTTTAAGTGTATGTAGAAAAATATCAAAAAGAATATTTTTTTAGGATTCAAAAATCTAAAGAACCGCTATGGATGGAGGTAGCACACTTGAGAGGGAATCAAGACATTCATTCTTCAAAATTAAATTGTCGAATTTTCTCCTATCTAATCTTGAGGTGAATTTTAAAAAAATAAAGATTTAAGAATATTGATTATTTGGTGATCTTGTATACGTCAAAGAAGATTGGGATCTATAATACAAGAGACTAAATTGGTAAAAAAATCTTCCCTTAGCATTTAGACTACATTTACATTTCTTTTTTATTTTGTTAATGCACATAATTAATTTTTCTTTTCTATTTATTAGCATATATTAGAAATTGATTAATTTATTTCCTTCTTCTTGTTAGGATGTTGTTTTATTTTTGTAAATTAATCAATGATATTTTCGTCTTTATATTTTTTATTATCATCACAAACACCATAGTTTTCTTTACCCCAACCCCACAAGATCGCCTTCAAAAACATTAGGAAATGACTGCCTGAGTCTCCCTTAATCTTTCAAATAAAGGCTCTGGAGGATTTCCATCGTCGACTATATATTGAATGCCAAGACTTTGCATACTCTCCATTGTCTTGGAGATCCTAGGGGTTATGCCTTTGATCTGCGAATCATTGGGTTTCGAGTAAACCTAGTTAGACGCTCTCCGATTCCTCTTTCCTTGTTTAGGGATTCATTTACAGTTTGTTTACAGATTACAAATTACAATTACAAGATTTGCAATTAATTTAATGCAAGCTAAGAATGGCTATTTCTATTTTCGTTGTTTAGGGATTTTGGGGCCCAAAACAAGGATATGTTCACATTTTGTATAATCCATCGCAAGAAGCCCATTATTCCCAAGGCAGACAGACAAATAACAGATACGATGAAAGAAGAATCGCCAGAAATCAATCAAACAACAACATTTGTTGTGATTAGAAACAACATCGTATGACTGAGTAGATAGAAGCAGTAATAAAAGCTTTTTAAGGTCTCTCGTTATTATAATTAATCATCTGAAATTAAGCTGTGGTGTATCGAACCTCACTAAGAATGACTATTAGAGTTAAATAAATATTTAACAGAAATAAAATAGTGCTATAAAAAGATAAAACCTTGTTAAAAGGATGACTATCAAATCTAAAAATCGCATCTTCATATATTCAAATAAAAAAAAATATACAATCCGAACATTCGTAAGATTCGTCAATGACCCAAAAAACAAAAAAACTTCGCAAGAATGTTTCTGAGTTTTCAACTTCCGACAAAACTAAAGTGTTCGAGATCTTAACAAACCGGCTTACGACAGAGAGGGCACTCGCGATTGATCTGCAACCAGGTTTTGATGCAATCTCCATGAAACGTGTGATCGCAAGGCAATCTAGTGATCATCGAACCTTCTGCGAAATCCTGCACGCAGATCGCGCATTCCCGAGTAAATCTGACGGTTCCGAGCGAATCGATGGCGGAGGAATCGGCAGGGACGGGTTCCCGAGAAGACAAGATCCCCGGAAACATACTCTCGACGTAAGCATCGACTTCGGGATCTTCATCTAGCTGCACCGTCTCTGATCTTACCCTCCAAACCTCGACCTCGATCGCTCCTCCCGTTACTCGCGGATTCCGTCTCACGTAGTCACTGATCTCTTTCAAGACCTCGGTGTAGAGTTCCTTTGGGACGCCAAACATGCGAAAGTGGGCCGTGATGAGGAAGAATTCGCCGCTGTAGGACGAGGCGTTACGCGTTGAAACCCCTGCTGCGTCTGCGTTTTGAAGGCCGCTGACGATTTCGACGATTGCGTTGTGGTTCATCGGTTCGGAAAGAGACGCGGAGGCTCTGAAAGCTTCGGTGGTTTCGTCGGGAAGACTGAAGGAATCACCGTCGGGGAGAAGGGTTTGGCGGCTGAGGATGTCGACGCCCTTGAAGCTTAGCACCCAGCATGAGAAGTCCTGATTCGGACGACGATCCAACCCGTACGAGAATGTCACAGGAGAATCCATGGCGTATCTGTCACAGGAAGAATGAACGAACAAAGACTTAATTAGAGGTATGCGGCTATTTATAAATTACTAGGGTTTTTCCATATTCCTTCTCTGGTTAAGATTAGAGAGACTCACACCGTTAAGGAAATTCATCTCTTATTTCCTTTTCTTTTTATCGATTTGTACAATTTATCACCTTTTTTAATATATCGGTGGATCAGTTTTGTTTGATTAAGCAAGCAGAGATCGTCTCATAGTTGTAAATCGAATCTTTTCCATTTTTTTTTTTCACGCTTCTTTCCATTTTTATAGGAAAGATAAATTAAAGTTTTAATAATTTGAGGAAAAATAAATTCCATTACTTTAGTTTTCCCGAAGAAAGGAAAACTAGTCCAATCTTTTTCATTAATTGTTTTCAGTTAAAAATTCAAAATCAACCAGAAAGAGGATATATATATATATATATATATTAAAAATAACACGACCATGGCGCCGAGAATCTCTGAAAATCAAAAGGGCTTAATCCCATCTGATTCGAGGTAAATCTCCCCTTAATTTTTCATCGAATCAACCCATTAGGTTTAGATTCGGAACAAGCCCAACATACAAAGCCAGCCCATTATCGGCCCAAACACATTTGTTCTGACCCTTCACTTGATTTCTAGTTTTAATTCCCCAATACTACATCAATGTCGATATCTCATTTTTATTTTTATTTTTATTTTTTTAAACGATATCTCATTTATATATATATATAGAGAGAGAGAGAGAGAATATTAAATATACTCGAACAAGGAAACATAACGTATTATTTACATGAAAAAAAAAACTTCTTTTAATATCACATATTAGCAAAATCGAAATCGATGCAAAATAATTGTTAGTTATATATATATAGTGTAATGAATCTGTAACATTAGCTTGAAATTCTGTCAAACCCTAAGCTTGGAACATATCTGAATTCTTTTGGTTTGTCATATTAGATGTCATAATAAGAGATTTTAGTTTAAGTTGGAAGAGTTTTCCTGTTGACCAAATGGGGAGATTTCCATTGGTCGAAAACAGCAACACAGTGTCTAAATAATGTAATATTTTATAATACAATAAGAAAATGCTTCATGCCATAAAAAAAGCATATGTATACGGTCAAAGTCAAACGTAGATAGCTATATGCCCCACAATGTGCTTGATGGACAAGGCAATCCATCATCCATAATTGAGTCCCGTTTTGTCTGAACATGGGCTCTATAGATAAGGTTTGGACAACAGCCAAACCCCCAAATCGAGAAGAACAGGAGAAACAAAAAAAGGAGAAGAGTTGAAAAATGGAGAAGAGCGACAGAGTGATTCTACATGGAATGTGGGCAAGTACATACTCCAGATGGGTCGAAATCGCCCTTAAACTTAAGGGCATACCCTACGAATACATCGAAGAAGACCTTCAGACCAAGAGCCAATCCCTCCTTCAGCTCAACCCCGTCCACAAGAAGGTCCCGGTCCTCGTCCACAACGGTAAACCGATCGCTGAATCTCTCGTGATTCTTGAGTATATCGACGAAACGTGGAAGAATTCTCCGCGATTGTTACCAGATGATCCCTATGGGAGGGCTCAAGTCCGGTTCTGGGTCAGCTACATTACCCAACAGGTATTCATATTTAGAACGTTTTCTATATATATATGCCAAAAGAATCGATTTTTAACGTAGTAACAAAGTGTTGTTACGATAATTGTATGTGAGAAGTTGTTCGAGTCCACGGGCAAAGTCATGTCCAGAGAGGGCGAGGCTCAGGCGGAGGCTGTGAAGGAGACTCGAGGGAGGATCAGGGTCCTTGAGGAAGGACTCAAGACGCATTTCTCAATGGATCAAGATTCAAGTGAAGTCGGAGGAAACGATTCAGCACTTGTTGATATAATACTCGTTTCGACTTTGGGAGTTCACGAAGCCTACAGCGAAGCGCTCGGCGTAGAGATCATTGATCCGGTGGAAACTCCGGTCACGTTCTCGAGGGTGGAACGCGTGAGAGAGCTTCCCGAGTTCAAGGAAGTCGCGCCGCCTCACGACATGTTTGTGAAGCGTATGCGGAACTACAGGCAGGGGCGTCTAGAACGGGCTGTAACTTCGTCTTGAGGATGAAGATTTGCGGACATAGTGCCATGTGAAATGTGTAATTTGGAAATATGTCTCTGTTGCATGTGTTTGTGTGTTGTATGCAAAAATAATTCACCAGACACTAATATACCTTTGCTTGCAGAAACCATCGATGATTTATTGAATATTTGCCCAGTCCAAAATATTTCATGATAGTAGCTGCAGAATCATCCTATAGAAGCCCTCGGAAACCCATAAAATTCAAAGAAAAAGAAAGAAAGAAAGACTGGGATTCGAAGAACAAGACTAAATATGACTGCTATCGCCCGAAATATTTGTCAAGGATAAAAAAAAATAAGTTAATCTAAATTTGGAACCTCGAAGTGGAGATGGCCGAGTTGGTCTAAGGCGCCAGATTAAGGTTCTGGTCCGAAAGGGCGTGGGTTCAAATCCCACTCTCCACATCTATTTTTTTTTTTTTGTCAAAGACGCATCTAATTTTGTTTACAAACATTTTCTCTTTCTTTATTTGTAGTTTTTGGAAACAATAATCTAACCAAATAAAACAGAACCAATTCTTTACAAACATTTTCTCTTTCTTTATTTGTAGTTTTTCCAAATAAAACAGAACCAATAAAAATTCAATGAAGTGTCATTTTTGTAGATTTTGATAATGGTACTTTGTCAAATTTTTACTTGGTGTTAACACCCGACCAAACGTAATGAAATTTATTTACCGGTGTTAAATTTATAACGAAATCCGTGGATAATTGATGATTTAGTCGTCAACGAATATTTTTTTATTAGTCAAATTTTTAAATGTTTGGGTAGTTATGTGAAAGTTTTAAAAAATTCAGATATTTATTTGAGAATTTTATAGTTCAAGTATTTATTTAAAAATTTTGTAAAAATTTAAGTATTTATATGTAATTTTTCTTATTTATTTTATAGTTTAGATATTTATTTTATAGAAATAACACGACACAAAAGAAATTATATGTTAAAAAAATGAATATTTTTTAGGGAATAATGAAATGAACTGTACTTCATAATATTATAATCAAATTCGAACCGAAATCTTATTTGATTATAATTTTAATTGGATAAAATTATACTCAACAAATTATAACCGAACCAAACAGAATAAAATTACATAATTGTTTATTTATTAATTTTTAAATATCAAAATAACCGAACCTAATCGTCTTTCCACCCATAACAAATATATATACATAGGGTTGGAGGTCCAAAGAATTAAACCAATCAATAATCCTTTTTGTGACGCGCTGATTTATATAGCTACCTAGTGGAATATGAAGAGCACTTTTGACTAATCAACGGAAAAGCATCTAAAAAAAGTTGAAATCCCGAATATGAAAAATGAAATGACACTAATCGAATAATTTATAATAATATCTAGATCAAATTATTTATAACCTTTTTTAATTAGTGAATCTAAATTAAATTCAAGAAAAAATAATAATATTCCTTTTAAACGACTTAAATTCAAGCTAAAATTAAATAAATCAAAATTACTATATAAATTTTTTTAGAATTAAAAAATTCGAATTTTTACCAAGAACAGTATAAGGGTCTTCTGGTGAGCTGTCGGCATCCATGATATGACAATCGCATGATATGGTTAAAAAGCTCTTTTTAGTTCGAATATATTTTTCACTTTTGGACAGAAGAACGTGGGAAGGTCCTTGGAAATGCTGACGCAGAGTATGAGGAATGGTGACGTCATTTCCCATGTACACTCAATGGACAATCCTCATCAATCATCATTCCTGCGACGATGAATTTATGAAGTTTAAATAATATCAATACTAAATGAGTAGAGCTGTCCGGTTTTGATTGGATAATTTTTATTTAAAAACGTATTTTACACTACAAAATTGTGAAAACATATATAAAAGAACAACAATACAATGAACATGAATGGTAATTTGTTTTTTGTAGAATGGTAAATAAGTTTAGGTGATGCGTAAAAATTCATTTAAATAGTATGCATAAATTATTAAATCGTACAGTGCCCCAAAAATGTTTGAGACACACACACAAAATATTTCTTACTTTTTTTCGACCATAGAAGAAATGTTATATAATTTGATAATTTGTTTCTCACCAAATATTATAAATTAATACACTCGATAAATAAATGTAATTTCATAGTGAAAGCTGATTAATGCTATTCCTGTATTTCAACATGTTTTTATCCCCAAAAAGTGTATGGAAGTTTATTTTTTTTCGAACTCAATAATATTGAAATTATTCACAATTTCAAGAACTTTAATCAAACTAAAAATCTCACATGTTTTGATAGTTTCAGTGGACAGATTTAATATATTTAGAAAATTAAATCAGTTCTAATTTACACACTATATTAAATATATTTATGTTTAAATTTTTTTACCTAAATTTTTAAAGAGTGTCTTTTTTTGTAAAAAAAAATCTTAAATAGTGTCATTATTATGTGCATGAATTTTTATTTTTGTTGCAACCATCAATATACTAAAAAGCTAATTCGTATCATATCATGCAAGAAGTTCCAAAATCACATCAATGTAACATGTTTTTCCACTGGCATGAGATGTGACATTAGGAGATTTCTTTTCTCATGGCATAACTTTTAGTAGTGGATCGGTAAGTCCAACCGAATTCAATTAGTCCTAATAAAATTTAATTTGAATCAAATTTAAATTGAATTATATTCCTTTATATCACTCTAGCCCACTAACTAAAGCAGTTATCGTTTTCATCGTGTGACGTCCATCCGTATTGTATAAATAGAGTTGTACCACATGAACATTCACACATAAAATACGATATTTAAGATGCGCGAAAATTAAAACTTTATTTTGTATTAATTTGCAACAAAAATAAATATAAATAATGGTAATATCCAATGTTGAGAAATACGAAATCCCTAAGACTACATTACCAATCACATAAAACCAGAATTTGTAAAGTCTTGAGTTTTCACGGCTCTATCCAACATCGGCTGCATCTCCACGCTAGTTGCGATCCCCTTCGAGAAGCTTCCATCTCAAACGTGCACATGGTCATTCTTCCGTTGCGATTCCCTCACGGTTCTCTTAATTGAAACGTTGTATAACAATGTTTTAAGGTACGTGTAAATGAGTGATTCGGATGTAAGTCGGAAACCTCACTCATTGAAAATACTCAAACAATAGGCAATTATATATATACATATATATACAGACTATGATACATATAACAACTACTCAATCGTTTATTAAAACAATCACAACCAGTCCGAAGAAGAAATCATCAGACAACAACCATCAATTCTTTCTATACACATCGCATGCATAGGGCAATCCAGTCGAGTCGGCATACGGAAATCTCAAAATCTGATATAACAGATCGGTTGAATCGTCATTTGGATTCTAAAAAAAATCTAATTTATTCAAGATTAAATCATGACATCTAATGTCAACAGCGAAAATCTTAAATAACGAAATTCATTATCATAAAATTCTAAACTCATAAATTAAAATCTAAATCTTCATAGTTCTCGCAACTATCGAGTCTCATAACATGATTTGATTCACTTTCACCTATGAAAAAAATTAAAGGTGACATATGTGAATAGCTAAGTGAGGTTTCATAACTATTAATATCGCCTCTGTATCCACCATAGACAATCAGATAGAAAATAACAACAATCAACATTCAAGCCAAACAAGATTTCATTTTGTTGATTCATGATTTTTTCTTTAACTTTTTTTTGTTTAATCTTTTAAATTAACTTCATATTCTAAGACCACTCAATACCTTTCACACTTAGGTTAAAACCATTTTAAAAAACAAAACAAATAATTATAACTCTTCCCGAATCACTGATGAGTTGGGGTTACATTTTTAAAACTCAACCAATAACCATAAGCCCTTCTCGTATCGCTTGGGGTCGAGGTGGGTGTGCGTGAGTGGAAAGGGGAGAGCGAAGATAAAATAGAAAAAAAAAAGAAGGTTGCAAAATAAAAAAAAACAAAATTCTAATTAAATTATCCTTTATTTTTAAAACTTTCATATTTATCTTAAACTTTTATTTGGTAATAAAAAGTGTTCACCGAAACCATTAATCATTTTAAAAATTTTAAATTGATCAACTAAACTCTTAATTAAATTTTCTAAAAAAATCTGATTAGTATAATATCAAATTAATAATTGATGTATTTTTATGATATATATCATAAAGTTCATTATATTTATGAGAATTTTTCTTAAAAAAGTTTTAAAAAGTTTTGATATCTAGAAACATTAATGAAAAAAAATGTTTCAACGAGATATAAATACTAATCATTTAATCAAAATAAATAACAAAGCAAACAAGACTATTTGATCAACTAGATTCCTTCTTTAATTGCGAATTAAACCTAAAGATTAGAATATTTTTAACCCCCTATAACATAAAACGTTTATTATAAAAATATTAAATTAAAAATATTTAAATAATTTAAAAAAGGTGTTAAAATATTAATATAATAATTATAATTTAAAAATAGAAAAAATAAAACAAACTGTATACATATTTTTTTTTAAAAAAGTAAATAAGTAAAGTATCTATATTTGTAAATATAATTTTAATAATTTCCTTTAGTAATTATGATTTTTAATAAATTTTTAGTTTTTAACGGTTCTATATATTTATATATTTAAGTAAACTTTATGAAATATATCTTTAATTTATTTAATAAAGATTTTAAATTGATAATAGAAAATAAAATTTTATCTATTGATAATACACAATAATTATATTGTTTTAATACTTATATATTATTATTAATAATTAAGTTTATAAAAAAAAGGTTCCAACAAATTGTGGGGCCATGTGTCGTGACTGTCGTCGATAAACTTTACGACGGTCAAGTCCATAGCGAAGATATGTTTGTTGTATGTTTCCATAAAATGACGTCTGGAGTCGTTCTCCATAATAATAATGTTATTATTATTATTATGAAAAATAATTTTATTTTATCATATAATTTTAAATTATTTATCTGTGGTAATCGCTAAAATTAAAAGTTGTATTTGGTGCCAATCAAAGTCTATATTTTATATTAATTTTCTGAATAATTTTCTTATTGCAATTTGGAAAAATTCAATATCCCGCAAAAAAAAATATAATAAGGTTGTTAGTGTTTTAGACTGACTCTATAAGACAACTCATCTAACTTTTTCGTTAAAATTTGCTTTTCGGTGCAATGATTTCTCCCATGCTTATATATAAATTCAGTTTTGGATTTTTTTTCCGAATTTATATTTTATTTTAATTTTTTTAATCAATATTGACTTATTTTTACCTTTTGCATTTATTTTATATTTAGAATTAATTAGAACTAAATGATTTTCTTTCTAAAAGAGTTCAATTATTTTTAATTCAATTGAATTTTAATCACAGTTAATTAATTGTATTTAATCACTTAAATAAAATATAATTCAAATAAGATTTTATATATTAAAAAGAAACTATTAATTTCAATGATATGATATCTCTCTTTAGCTCCATACCTTTTATTTTTTTTGGAGGTCCTCCATCGCTTCCTTGAAAAATTCAAAAACTCTATTTACATAGCGAATATAATTCCAATTATACGTTTTTTTAGGTCTTCCTTCACGACCTTTAAATTTCGATGACATAGCGATGACATTACACGCCACGTCATACACCACATCATAATTAAATTAAAAGATAAAATGATAAAAAGAAAAAATAAAATAAATAAAAAAAATAAAAATATCAATGAATGATAAAAAATAAAATAATATAAAATAATTACATATATATTTATTTTATTATATTTTTATCATCCTGTTTTCATTATTTTATTATTTTAATTTTTATTATTAATTTTAATATGAAATGGTGTATAATATGGCGTGCCACGTCATCACTATGTTAAAAAAATTTAATTGTGTTAGTTACCATTAGTACAGAATTTAAGATTTGGAAACTTTTGAATAGTTCAATTTTTTTATATAACTTTCGTTATAATTTATATTATTTTATGGAATTAAAAAAATTAGTATTTAGTTTAAAATTTTAAATAAAGTTGAATATTTAATATGTTAATCTCCCTTAAATACGTTAATACTTGGAACGGTAATATTTTGATGCCACAAAGAAAAAGGAAAAATAATATCTTAAAGTCAATTTCAGAATTAAGAGAAAGATTAGATGTTAAAATTATATGTGGTTGCTTTAGTTGAGATATTTTACAAATCAAAAGTAAATTGAATAATCCATAATCAACTTAGTTTTAAATTGATTAGATAATTTTCTAAACTAGGTTAAGTTTTATCATTCATTGAACATAAACTTTTATAAAAGTAATTACTTTTAAATGAAAACAATTTACAAAATATAAATCATTGGGAGAATTATATGTAAAATCATTAAAATTGCCTCCATGGCAGCAAGGTTGGAAACAGGCATCTTGTTTGCTGGACAGGACACCTTTTTTTTACTACAATTTTTTAAAAAAAATGATAATTCTGTACAATATTCTCTAAAAACATGTATAAAATGGGACAAAATAAAATTGAAAATTGGAAAAAAAAAATCGATATGGAGAAATGAGAATCACATTGACGTATTATATACATTCATGAGAAATGCATGTGGAGTAAGTTGAGGATAAATTCCTTAGCCATGATGAGAGGCCATTCGAAATTATGGAGAATCACAATGGCGTATTATGAAAAAAAATATATTATCCTCCACAAAAGGAAGGAAGCAGAGCACATTTCCTTCAATAATCAATTGTAATTAATTATAAAGAATCTAAAAGAATTTGTTTTCATAATTGTTTTTTTGGTAATCACCTCACCAACTCCCATCTCCGCTAAGCCTTTAGTATATATATATATATTTTTTTTTAAGCTTTTGGGGAAAAGAATCCTCACACGAGAGGACGCTTTGGTATTTCTAGTTCACCTTTTTTTTTTTTTTGTTATAATGCAATCTTCCACATTTTCCACTGTACATATTCATATATATATATACACACACACACACAATTGCTGCAACATAATCATGATAGATTCCATAAATTAAAAAGAGAGAGAGAGAGAGAGAGAGAGGAAGAAAAAACAGAGCAATGGAGGTGGAGAAAAAAGTGAAGAACAATGCAGAGGATGAGCCCAAGGTTGTGTACAGAGGATGGAAAGTCATGCCCTTCATCATCGGTAAAATCTATACGCTGATTTTTTGTGCTCTATTATATTTGATTTTTATTGATGTTTCTTGGGTTTTTTTTTTCATCTCTGTTGTGAAACCCCATAGATTCCCTTTAAACAAGATTTTGAATCTTGAAACGAACAAATTATTGATGAAAAAAAAAACCCAGAGTTCATGTGTGTTGAGAAACCCATGAATCATATCTGACTCACTCCAAAAAGGTTGTGTCTTTATCTGACAGATTGAATTTTCTTTCTGGGTTTTTTTTTTTCTCTTTTCGGACAGGAAATGAAACATTTGAGAAGCTTGGAATAGTCGGAAGCTCGTCGAATCTCGTCATATACCTGTCGACAGTGTTCAACATGAAGAGCATCACCGCTGCGAAGGCCGTCAACATTTACGGCGGCACCAGCAATTTCGGAACCATCATCGCCGCCTTTCTCTGCGACACTTACTTCGGCCGCTACAAGACTCTTAGCTTCGCAATGATCGCTTGTTTCCTCGTAACGAATCCTCTTCCTTGTCTATGATCCTTTATCCCATTTCCATTTTCTCGTGATCTCGCCTCTAAATCGCTGCTTTTCGTGTGAAGGGCTCGATTGCGATGGATCTGACCGCAATTATTCATATACTCCATCCCGCGAAATGTGCTAAAGAGCTCGGAAGCGTGTGCAAAGGGCCAACGGGTGGGCAGATAGCGTTTCTCGGGTTCGCTATGATCCTGCTTGTGATTGGAGCGGGCGGCATCCGGCCGTGCAATTTGCCCTTTGGAGCCGATCAATTTGATCCGAACACGAAAGCGGGTAAGCGTGGAATAAACAGTTTCTTCAACTGGTATTTCTTCACATTCACATTCGCTCAGATGGTGTCGCTGACACTCATCGTGTACGTCCAATCCAATGTGAGTTGGAGCATCGGCTTTGGG